GGGAGTTCGTGACTCTCTTTTCTGCAGTGGCTAACCAGGACTTCAATATATCTGTGCTTTCTACGTGGGAAAAGGGTGCTACTTCAGTATACTGAGATAGATCAGGAACTCTTTCCTTAACCTTTTCCAGGATTCCGTGTTCCTTTGGAAGTGTAGAAACCACGAGAGCAACGTTTGGAGGTAGCGACTTCGGTAGCCAAACCATGCGATGTGCTCCATGATCACTTGATAATTGATCAAGCGAGTCCAGAAAAATGACAAGAGGCCTTTCCACTGTGGCAAATTTCATAGTTTCAATGAAGGCTGCCACCAATTTGTTGTACTCAGTAGGAACTTGGAAATCTGTCCGATTGAAGACCTGGATGATTTGTTTGCATAGCGTTGTCAGAACTCGCTGAATGGATGAGGTATTTGGGCTTGTGCCAAGAAATCGTAGCATCATCACTGTGTCAGTGCCACAAAGCCATGACTGCTGAACAAGTGCTGCACATTTTGCCATAATGGATGTCTTTCCACTTCCTGACTCTCCATATAACACCATTGGAACACCATCTTTGTCATCGTCACACTTTACTCGCTGCATAATGTAGTCTTGTACCTTTTTAATGATGTCATCCCTGCCCTGGAATCCAACGCACTTAGTAAGACTGAAAGCTAGGTGCTGGAGAATCTCCTGATGTAAGGGATCTTCCAGGCTGGCGAGCTTCTCCTTGGAGACACCGATCTCAACCATGCTTACGATCTTGGCGTAGAACGTATCCAAAAATCCTTTGATATATTTACTGTGATTGTCGTTCTCTAGATTAACTCCATCCTTTGTCCACTCCCCCAGATCGGTTACTATTATATTGGATGGGGGAAGTGCTTGGGGGACTTTGTTGTCTCGTAGATCAGAAAGCAGCTCGCCTGCCTCAATGTCTACATTTCTGTCCAGGAGGTCAAGGAATTTTGAAGCTTCTCTCGCCTCACACTTGCTCTCCAAGTCACTGAACTTTCGGATGAAACATAAGCAGTGGTTTTGCCTGTCTGACGGTGCATTCAAAATGCCATGATCAACCTCGTCGTGGGTAACTGTACATCGAAAATAGGGAAAAACGTACACGATTTTAAGAACATTTGAGAAGTTACTTGTTGCGACAATATATGGCACTTCAAATGGCTCACAAACCTGAAATCCTGTATTTCTTGGCTCGGTCTGCCGCCAGTAGTCCCCGCTTTTCCGCTTGGTTAGCAGCAAAGCGCAGCTGTCCCTGTACTTGTTCGAACGTTGCCCACCACTCTGTCTTGTGCGCCCTCATTTTTTCTGGATCGTCCTGGCGATTGAAGTATGGCAGCCTGGAGCTGATTGGCTGTAAGACGTACACGGGTGGTATGCAGTTTTCGTCACAGATAAACCACTTGTCGAGCGTTTTGATCGGCTTTCCGTTGTCCATCAAAGTTTCCCGCAGAATTTTGAATTCCTCGTTCTCAATCTTTGGCGGGAAGGGTCGGTACCCATACTTCTGACACAGGAACGTCTGCCAAAAAAGGGTTTATATTATTTTGGCTATGTGCTATGCCGACTCATATTTGAACAAAATGTGTTTTTTTTTCTGCAAAAAATGTTCGTTATTGAGTGGGAAAACACAGGTAGTGGATTATTGTGAAAGTAATTTTGGAAAACACTCTCTGCGCTGCAAAAGTAGTCAAAGATAGCCATTAAGAAAAATGCAAAATACAAAGTCTGACTTCTTTCCACCTGTATTTGTATGAAATATGGAAATCTAAAATTCAGAGGACACGACGATTTGATCTCAGTAGAATCTTTCTCAAGGGTAAAACGCTATAACGAATTAGTTACTAAGGAATGAGTCAAACAACTAGTAGACAAAAATGAACAAAAGGAAACTGTCGATCTTATTTCCAGAAGCTAAAATACCAATCTGTGCTTGAAGCAATATAAAATGAACCACCTTCGTATTTAATGATTTTACTCGGTTACTCGGAAAAGTAGCGGCACTATTGTAACTCACAACAAAGTTTGGTCCCACGGAAAGGCGCTGACAGCCAGCAATCTCCGCCATGCATAATTGTGACGTCATGTGATCGTCTGTCGCTTCGTCCCGTACTCCCCATCGCATGTCAATGACCTGGAACTCCAAACCATGGCGTGACTTGCAGTAATCCTTCAGACGAGGGTACGTCTCCCCCATCAGGGCGTTACGTTCTACAGATGTGTCTGTTCAAAAAATGGTTCATAGAAACTTCTGTTTCAAAGATCATACACCTCATTTTATTTTTGTTTGTTTTCCGTTACGATTAAAGTTCTTTCCAAAAAGCTCAATGAGTTGCTACAACCAGCCGTGTTATTCTCTCTCTCTCTCTCTCTCTCTCTCTCTCTCTCTCTCTCTCTCTCTCTCAGTACCTACATAGGGATACCTGGCTACAGACCAGGAACTATCAGGCAATAAATATTGTATTTAGGCTCTGAGGATCAAAGAGTGGGACTCGGTGTGCCTTCTAAGTTGGGAATTTGGAACTCAACAAAGCCCATAGAGTTTGGACACAGACTGTTAGTATTCACCCTGGAGCGCTCCTATAAGGATTTTAGTATACATTAAACCACAAGCGCATCATAAAACCTACATTAAAGAGTCAGAACAGTAGCTGAACTGCTTGTTGATTGCGCGTAAATTTCAGTCGGAGATCTAAAGAAAAACCTGTTGTTACAGTTTACTTTAGAATGAAGCATTTTCTTGTTTTTATTTTGTAAATTTAGTTCATTTCATTTTACATGGTAACTGCTAAAACACGTTGGCTTACAGCTGGTCCAAAACAGAAGAAATAATGATCATGAGCACATCAGGTTTCCCTTTGTAAAATTTTGGTGTCTTTATTAGGGTGTGTGTCTGTACACTAAAATATTTCAGTTATTTATTCCCCAGCTGAGTTATTTAGATTCAGGTGAAGGAAGCCCTTAGCTGAAGAATTTTCTTCATTTCCTTCTTGGCTCCCATAAGGATTAGCGTGGCCTACTTAATCTAATTAGACTGTTGTGAATTTCGGGCTCGAGTAGGATAGACAATGCACATGTGTACAGTTGAATGCAGGATACCAGTATACTCTGTCTCTAGGCTGGTGATAATTAGCTTGGGCGTAGTCCCAGAGTCAGAACAGGGGGAGTGGGTTAGCGTAGCCGTTCTTTCCTCGCTTTGTACCAATGAGGCCTGGGTTTCAAGTTGAGTCCCGGCTTGGCTTAGGCTTTAATTAAGTGCATTTTGTTTCCAGTCCATATTCGCTCTTGCAGGTTTTCTCCGGGTACTCCAGTTTCCTCCTAGCTGCCTCTAAAACTGGCCCTTCATCCTAACTCCACAGAGTGATACTAATGACTAAAGAGTATGAATCAACGTGTAGTTATTGGCGCAAATAGCCTGAGTAGCTGAAAGGGGCATTAAAACAAAACAATAACAACAGAGGTAGAACTCCTACTAGGCACGAGAGGTGTAGGATCCTCTGCCTTGTCAGCAGTTGCCTGTGGTCCAGAGTGGAATTGATACTATGTGCTGACATGCAGTTGAGCTCTGTGCTCTGAGTTTGTACTTTTGTGCTGTATGCGTAGTAGCCGAATTTCTGTGTGAAATTTTGTACCAGTTTCGACACCCTTTTTTATGCCTTTGTTGGCATTCTGTGTGGAGAAGTTCTGGACCAGGCGATGGGTGAGGACTCCGATGTGAAGCAAGAGAAAATCAACCGTAAATTATTTAATGTTACTGATGTATTTACTTTGAAGAAAAGTGAGAAGTAATTTACATAGGAGTTTTACTAAAGGCCAAATAGAACGATGTCTGTACTCGCTTAACAAAAAAATCATAACACAATACTACACCCAAGGCTTACTATGCGGTATATAAAGCAGAAATGACGTACTGAAAATTGTCCTCCAGACTACCATAAACTAATAGACCTACGGCAATTTATCAAAGTTCGATTGAAAACCGAAGCTTTACAAATTTACGAACCCTTTTATGATTATTCATGCAGTTGATCCATTATCAGTCAACAGCTTCTCGCGTCATGGTTAATGTTTAACAGACCACGAGTGTGATAAAATCAAAATCCACAGTTTGCTTTTCGTGTTGTTCCTTTGTTTCTGTTTTGCTTTGAGTGTGTTTTTCCATACACTTGCTGAAGTAACAATGACGGCCTGTACATGGTAGCCTTGCCGCAGCACTGTCACCACATACACAAAACATGTACAGGTACAGAGTAATAGACAATTATTTTCATCGTGATCGCTGCTCACAAAGTACAAGAAGCAAATAAAATTCTCAAGCAATAGATTTTGCAGTTTAGAATGCCTACCTGTAAAGGTGGAACTCGTAAATATCCGGACAACTTTGGAGCGTTGCTTTGGCAACTCAACGCTTAAATTGCCAGTCAATACAACCTGCACGTTGGCTGTGCTTCCTGCTTCCATTCTCGCAGTGGACGCCGTTAGAAGGTTTTAAAAGAGAGATGATGTTTTCAGTGTACATGTAGTTCTTGTGCACGTGTGGTGGAATAAGCTTCTCCAAAACACCATTCCAGTATGAACTGTATGATTATAACCTTGTGGGAATAAGAGTTCTTCTCTACCAGCGAGCAAAATCAATCTCGATATCAATGTCAACGACGTCGAACCTGTACTGAAACGTGCAAACAGTCCCGGTAATGTACAGTCTGCTTCACCGATTAGAGATTGACTTTGACCCTGTACGTATGAATACCGTGCATGATGGAAGGTCGTTTCGTGGAGCATTAAGCTGTCGAGGTTGAGGTTCGTGGGGTTTTTTTTAGTCAAAAGTATTATTTTTATGCCATTTTAATTCATATTGACGACAACAATATCATCTTTTCAATCAATGCCAACCGCTTATGGCAAGTCTCTCTTTCTGATACGTACTGGCCTGATGAATAGTAATGCATCAAATGAACCAAAGGCTTGTGAAAGTCTATGCATTGATTCAGTTGCTATGACACAATGTTTTGCTTGTTGCTTCCAGGCAACCGTTGATTCGTTCATAGCAACGTTGGTACTTGGATACTATATACACTGTATACGGAAGGGCTGGGAGTGCGCTACCGAGTGATACGGAATGCACATAAGCAAGCCTCAACCCCAAAGAAAATTGCGCCAGGCCTTGAAAAAGATTTTTTTTTAAATCAGAATAAAGACACAATCGTGAATTTAGGCAAAATATCAAGGCTTATACAAGGTGTCCCAACTCCATAAAAACCCCTTATGCTCAAATGAGTATTTTTGCTGAACATGAAAATATCTGTCACCAGGTTTTGTTTTTCAATAATCATCTTTGTCATACGTTTAGCTCTCTTAAGAAGATTAAATCATGGCAATTGGTCTAGCCAAAGTAAAGATAGGCCCGATTTTGTAAAAGGTTGCGTTTGCGTGCTTTGGGCAAAGTGCTAAAAATGGTAAACTGCTTCGGTTGTAAGAACGAAGCATTTCTAAGAACATGTAATTGACTTTTCCCTCTTTTCTGCCAATGAAATAGATGACGATAAAGAAGAGCACACTAAACCATCGTTAATTTTTTTTGCTATTATTTAGTGTGATTAAGGTACACCAGGCAGCATGCCGTGTCAACGGTCATCTTTTCAACTCTGAAAGAAATAGGGCGGCCGGATTCCGACACTTCCGACATTTTCCCAATATCATTGCAGTCCATTTTTTCACGTGCTTAGCATTCAAGATTTATTTTAATTAAAAGAATGTAATTTTGTCACATGTTTTGTGAAAATCGGACATAAACTATTCTCGCGCAGCGCCTTATTTCCTAGACAGGTCAGCCCAAAACGTATACTTTTCTATTCACGTGCTCCACTCACGCGAGCAGGCACGCGTGTTGCCTTGAACTTCAAATCACCGTAAAATCCAACCATTATGTCAGACTTAGTTGAAACTTAACAGTTGTATCGATCATGAGTATCCAAGTCTAATGGAAAATCGCTCTCTTCTATGAGAAGGTTCAAAACAGGCTAACCTGGCTCTTTTAGAGTAAAATAATTTATACATTATTACACGTGACGTCCGTTTTGGAGAATCCAATCACCTGTTTTTATTTCTAAATCTATTCGCAATAAGACCCTCAAAAACTTTTCCCTTTATAATCTGAGAGGTTACTGGGAGGCATACCGACATAATGAGCATCTACTGATATTGAAATGGATCTTATGAGGAGAAGGTCACGATTGAATCGTCTTCGTAAAATAGATCAGAATTCACTGCCACCCTGATTCCAATATCATGTCATATATGCGAAGAGTGGCATTGAGGCCCAGACAAGACATCAAACGTGAAATTATGAAAGGATCGCTTTTCCACTTACTGCCGATTTCATTTTGGGTTAAACACACCCAGGCGTAACAACACCAACGATAATTCAATCGAATGTCCCTGATTCTGCGTGAGCTAGTTTCCGTTGTCACTGGGCCAGCACAAAAGCAGTGACTGAAACTTAAACTTCTGATGAGGGCGCTCTATATAATTGTGAGGGCTGATTTTTCTTTTATACAATAGAACTGTTACACATTTGAATTGTTCTGCATCTTGAATAAGATCCGTTTGTCAAGCCCACGGGAACGGGGAGTGCTGAAGCACCCCTAACTTTTTGGACCGGGGTGATGGTGTACAAAATAGCACCCCCAACTTTGACCACGTTAGGCCACAAATAATAAACTCCCCAATGTCAGAGATCCACCGAAAAACCTTTATGATTTTACAACCTCAGCACCCCCTAAGAAACATTGTTCGCGCGATATTATCCAGGACATGTATGTAAAAGATACATATCTGTGGGAGCGTCATGTTATGTCTCATCGCAATTTTCTATTTATATATGAGCTATCTGAATGTTTCAAATTTTTCTTTATTGACATAAGAGTTCTCTTCTCGAAAAGTATGGTCATGAGTCCGATTTATGAAGCATGCATATGTCGTCCGTTTGTTTCTAAGTTTCAAAGAAAATGAAGGAAATGTCTTGTATAAATAACCGTGGACGACAAAATGTTTTATTATAGGATATTTCAATATCAAGTTTATATTGTCATTCTCGACCCAACACACGAATTTCTAAGGACTTATTTGTATCCATGCTTCATTCGCGCTCTTCGGTAGAAGACAAATCTAATTCGATAAATCTAATCACACTATTTGTTTCTTTGCAGACCTTTGTGACGCCTTCGACATTGTTGCTTACGAAATTGTACTTTCCTAGCTATGATAGGTATGGTGTTGGTCGAAAGACCCTGGACTGGTTCCGGAATTATCTTTGCGACAGGAAACAGTTTATTAAATGGAAAAATAATAAATTGACCCTTAAATTAAAAAAGCTCCATTTTTGATCTGTTATTCTTCCTTGTGTATTTAACCGATATCTAACTCTTCGAAATTGTTTTCTTTTCTTTTGTCTGCGGATGACACCACCGTTTTCATTATAATGTCTGTTATCAAAAGGACCTTTGTCTACTTATCTAGACTTAAGAATATCTCCATCTTATGTAAATGCAACGAACTGTTGATAAATGAAAAGGAAACAGGTTAATCTTATTTTCAAAAGAAGTACAAAGATGTTGGCATTAATATCGATTTTAAGATCAATATAGTTTTTATTGAAGGGGATTTCCCTCATTTTTTTCCTATTATGATTCCAATAAAAACAATAGACTTTTGAAATGTATGGACGGGTTACACTCCAAGAAACGTCCTCGTCACAATAAATTACACACCTATTTCATTTTTCTAATGCCAATCTCTTGTTAAAATCATTCAATGTGCATGCATGTCTTTATGGATTGGAATAGACCCAGTGAATTTCAAACTTATGCTCGGGTTTGTTTTTAAAGTAACCCAGAATTAATGTGTTGCTTTACCACACTATTTCAACTTCAGCCCGTCTCTCCAAGGTACATGTATTTGAGACACGAATTGAAAAGAAAATCGCCCCGACATGTTTCCCGTTAATTTCGCAACCCACACTGGCCTCATGGATCTTGCTGAGATACATTTCATCATTTCTTGACACACACACCATTATTTTTTCAAAGACCTTTGTTACAGTTATGGAGTTGGCGGAAAGGCCCTGGACTGGTTCAGGAACTATCATTGCGACAGGAAACAGTTTGTTGAATGGAAAAATAATAAACTGAATAATAATATTGTACTTAAATAATAATGATGGCTAGACTCTTGGGAATAATTATCTTTCATTTTTTTCCATTTTTTTTATAGTGTCTGTTATTTAAAGGGATGTCTCCATGTGTTTTTAATGCAACAAATTGTGATAAATGAACGTAAAACACCTTTAATGTTCATTAATATCAAAACAAGGATTTTTATTGAAGATAACTTTCCTCATTCTTTCTTTATGATTCTAATTTACAAACGATGAAATTTGGAAAGTTATTGATTGGTTACCGTCCAAAAAGTCTGGGTCACTATAATTAGATACCTACAGTTCATTAAAACATTACACTCATTACTAAGACTGTTGAAACTATTTAACTATCTTCATTGACTGGAATTGTACCGAATGAATTAAATTTCAAAAGCTGTGCCTACAGTTTAAAAATAGTGACCTCAAAGTAACGTTCAACCACAACCTCATTTTGATTGTATCCTGTCTTTTCAAGCTACTTGAGATATAACATGCACATGCAGTTGCATATCGCCCCAACCCCTTCGTAAGTAAGTGCTAATTTCACAACTCAGCTGTTCCTATATACATCGACCTTATTGAGAGGATCAGCTCATGCAGTGTGTCCACATACCATTAACAGCGGTCGACTTTGTTCACTCATCTGTGTCAATAACATCACAAGCTGTATACCATTGCAAAGAGGGCATTCTGCCCTTTCTGGATATATAATTCTCTTTCCCATATATAAAGTAGTTTTACTATTACAGTAATTTTTTTTATCTCGGTATACTTTTTACGTGGACACCCTGTGTATTAACCCTAACCATTTATGCATGAGATTTTTCACAAACATGGAAAACGTTTTTATTTTATTTACACATTTAATCACAAAGATGTTGACATGAATATTTATGTTAACAATGCCAAGATAAGTAAAGTAAGCTATTTTACTTTATTTTATCTATTCATCCAACGGCACATTTAGCGCCATTTATGGGATGAAGTGACACTTAAGAAAAGCAACGAGGAAATTTAGATTTTTAGGTGTTATAATTGAGTTAACTTTACGTGGAAGCTTCTTGTCAAAAGAATCTTACATCGGTTTCCCAGTTTTGGGTGTTCTGCATAAAATTTGGCCTGAACTACCTAAAAATGTCCTCTCTTCTCCTTATAATACACTGGCATACCATCAGCTTCAATACGAAATTCTAGCATTGAAAAATTCACCATCATTTTTAGTAAATCGCAAGCCAGACAGAATGTTGATGAGCTATCACAAAATTCCAATTTCAGAGAGCAACTGCGCCCTCTTTTAGACAGCATAAGACACTAAACGTTATTATTTCTTGAATATTTACAGGTAACCTTACAATATTAAAGTTCTCGTTTGTCAGGAATCGGTATAAAAAGCAAACAAACTGCACCTTGAAAAGACTATAGGACAGCATAAGTCATGAAAACTGATTTAGAAGGTGTGCATGTATGGCAGCCAACGGGTAAGAGCTTTCGTTCCACGGGATCCACATGAGTAGACCTTTTTGCGCTATTCCTCTGTAATAAAAGCAGTTACCTAAAAGAAGGTTGCCATGCACAACCTTTATAGGCAAGAAGGTAAAGCCCCCTACCCTTTTTGAAAACGTGCTTAGATTGATCAGATATCTACAAAATGTACTTAATTCCGGTATTACATAAGACGTCACCATCCATACAACACGTGCAAAAGTTAAAGTCTAAGTTATTCAAGTCTTGTATTGCAAGTAGGTACAAGCTTTTTCTTTTCCTTTAACTTTTCCGCTTAACTATATCTAATTTACTTATTGTAACTTATTTTGATCTCACGGATCCGAGACTTCTCCGAAAAATCCAGCTCTGAATCCAGGGGGGTCGGTGGGTCCAAGCACCATCTTTAAAACACTCTCGCCTTACGTTTCACAAAAGGGCCAGACTTTGAATAAATTTAGGCTTCCACCTTGTACTCCCGCCTATCTGTCAGCTTTTATGTTTTATGTTCAAATCCATCCAAGGCTCACAATGACAAGCAGGTATATGCAAACTCACGTTGAACAAAGTGATTCGATATTGTATCACCGAGAACGATTGAATACCTTCGTTAGCGAAGACCGTCGTTTCTAAGCTACCTGTCTTCGGCTGCATTGGATTGAATGAAACGGTGGGGGAAATTAGGCGTAAATGCCGGCAGAAACCTTTTTGCTGGGTTGACATTTTAGGGTTCGCTAAGACAGTTATAAACCACACAAGTAAATAATTTCCAAAATCACCCGCTTAAACTTGAGAGGCACTCAGTTAACCGTGATGGGCATAAATGGTACTATCCCCAACTACAGGAAATTACTCAGATAGACACTCTTCATTCTGGTCTTTTTATGTGCATACAGCATATACTCGCTTGTTACGATATTCTGGAACGAAGAAAAATACATGATGCAGCTGTGACGTCGCAAAAGAAATGTCTATAAGGTAACGACTTCTGTTGCTGCGCGACCTCGCGTGGTGGCGGGCAGGAGCCCGGCAAAGGCCTTCCTGAAGTGTTTGTTCATTATCACGTATACGATGGGGTTGAGACAGCTGCTGAACCACACACACGACCCGCAGAAGAAGTGGAAGGTCATGTTCTTTACCTGTGGGTCCACCAGGGTCGCCATCATGTAGGGCACGTAGCAGACAATAAAGACCAGGAAGATGCACAGCATCATCTTGGTGTATTGGATGTCCTCCCGGTAAGCCGTCGTCCGCTGTCGCTTCATCGAGTCCCTGGCCCTCGTAGCGCCCGACACCTCGTTCACCACTGCCTTTCTCATTTTCTGGACGCGCTTGTGGTTCGCACAGACGGTCTGCAGGATTCTCAGGTAGCAGAAAGTTATCGAGAAAGTCGGAATGATCAGCGCGGATATCATGAAGAACATACTGTAGCCGGAATTACTCCCTCCGCGGAGGAAGGTGCAGGTTAGGGTCTTGGGCTCGTAGCCCAGGTCTCCCCAGACCCCCGTGATGGGCGGGAGGAGAAATATTAACGGTAAGAGCCAACACACCAGTATCATGACGGTTGCCCGCCACTTGATGGTGAACAGTTTACCATAAAGCGGCGACTGGGTGATTTTGAGGCAGCGCCCGAAGGCAGTACCGGCCAGGGACATGATGGTCGCCCCAACGAAGGTGATCATGAGCAAAGGATGGATCCGACAGAAGACTGGGCCAAAGACCCAGGCGTTGTGGTTGTATACTGTCAGGAGGACCGGCAGCACGATGATACAATACAAGAGGTCCGAGACGCTTAGGCTGATGATGAAGAGGTTTGTGGGCGTCCTGAGAGCCGATGTTTTAGCCACCGCGATGATGGTCATGAGATTCCCCCAAAAGCCCAGTGCGTCCACTGGTATCCCGACCACGAGGGCCCAGTACTGCACCAGCAAGGAGTACTTCCTCGGTGAATCAAAGTCGCCCGTGACATCTACAGGATTAGCCGTCCGATTCAAAGTTGCATTTATATCGGTCACAAGACTCGAATTTTCCATTTTGAACACAACTTAACTTTCTGTCAAGAAAAAAAATGAAAACTGCTTCACCGTTTCGCGCCTTGACTCTAGGTTCAAATGTCATAGGGCCTAAAGATTGATGCCGTCGAGCTTATTTTGTTGTTGTACATTGAACATAATACAAGTCTCTACCAATTTACAAGAAATGTAGTACACGTGCCGTGTAGACAGTTGGCCAATTGTTCTTTCCTGTCATAACGTCAGATGTGTCAAGCCCACAATGGAACCTGCTGCATTAGCGTCAACACCGCATACTGAGACGATATGCGCCGCCTTTGTCTCCAAGCAAAGACAACATTTCCCCAAACGATTTGTTGGCAAAGAGAAGCTGTTAATTAAACTTGGTTCCAGTTCCCTTTGTAAAACGCTTTTGCACCGTGCACAGTACGCAAGGTTTTCATCAGGAAGTTTACCTTAGACGTAACTAGCGACGAAGGGATCACTAGTACCTTCTCATAGGGTTGTCTCCAAACATTTCTCACTGTCAATGGTGGCGCATTGGCAGTTGAATGGTACGCCAGTGCACATAATGTGAGCAGTGTGTCTAAGGCTATTACGGCGTCAACCTTTGGACGTGACGGAAGACAGAAAGGGGCCGTAGGATTTGAGGTCACGTGCAAGACCAAATTTAGCGTGGTGGTAATCTCACTGTCCTGACCAGTTTTGGGAGAGGAGACTTTCAGGCTGGCAATTTGCTCCATCGTCATCAACAGAGATACTTTTTAGACTACGAGGTAACACGGAATTCATAAAATAAAATATCAGCATGTAGCATGTTCCCCACCAAGTCGTTGAAATGAATTAGGAACTCTTCCAACCACCTGTGTATTATTCGTTTAATTAATACTTGGATGGGAATATAAGTGTGCGCTTAGCAGTTCTTTCAAAACGCTCCAAGGACACTGATTTTGTCCCTCATCACCTTCAGCTCGGGCATTAGTCTCAAAAAATTACATTGGAAAATCACAAAGCATCGGTACAAAACAGCGAGGCGGTACTGAAAAAAACTTAGCTTTGGGATTGAAAAACAACTAACTCAGGGCTCCTCGAGAAGCGGGTGTTTTTGTTTTGAAATACTTTTTGTTTTGTGTATTGTTTTTCTGCCAAACGATGTGTGCGGTGGTATTTTATACTGTTCTTAGGGTGCGAAGAAAATCCCGTTGTATAGTCCCATGACTCTGTTTCAACACTTTTGAAATAAGCTGAGAATTATAGTTATTGGACATGCCGACTCTCAACCGTTGACTAAGGTGCACCCTCGTTTTTAGGCCAGAAATATGTCCGCTGAGCTCTTAATAAAAGTTATACACTCAGAATATTCTATATTAGAGGGTCTTGAGAGCCATCGAACCGAGGAATTGAAGAAATATGACGCTGAACCTCTGGGCAGGACTCAGGGCTTCCGATTCTGAGCAATTTGGATGCAGTCGAGTCCGAAAGTGCCACTATTTGAGCCATTTTGCAGAGGGATGCATTTTCAAAATTGCTACTTTTCCGGGCAGTGAAATTTCCTTCATTTTAGGGGTGGTCTGCTTTGGGTGAGAATTTCTCAAAACATCATTGATCAACCCACTACAAATTGAAAGGAAAATGAAAGGGGACGTGTGGAACATCATTTTTATGTGCAGCCTGAACACCTCTGAGAATTGTGAGTATTTTTAAAATATAAGTATGGGGATTTATATTTATCACTGCTGTCTATGGGAATTATTTTATTTGCTGCGGTGCCCCCCTAAAGCGGCGCTCGCGCATGTCATCTGTTATCGCAGTGTTGACTGTTGGTGGCGCCCTACAGAAGTACACTCGTGCACCAGCTGTGTATACAACATGTATGTACAGATACAGATTTACTTAAAATTTTGTGAGGCCGAGTACGCGATGTGCGCGCGGTGTGGGTTCCTAGGCCTTCAATGTGCATGGATGTACACATTTCCTTCCCCCATGGTAAAATCACAGCCCGATTGCTTATAATCTGTGCTTGGATTGGAAGCCATGCCATTTTGTCCGTGCATGGTCCGTGGTCGCCTACTCGGTATGTTATGAAGTTGGCTTTTATACAGTCCATGCAGTGATGAAACGCAAAGCGAAGAAGCGTAAGTTCAGCCAAGTCAACAGCGATGCCGATCATTGTGCCGATAGTGTCACTTCCGGAGAGCAACCATTGCTTCATCAGGCCTCCGCTCACGATGACAAGGCGACTGACATGGATCATCCTGCAACTGTTCCAGGCAAGTGTTGTCTCTAATTTGACACTAGCCCCACTAGTACAGTGTGGCACAGACTCTCACTCCCGATCCATCCTTAGCCACACATCCGTATGCGCAATTTCGTGTCGGCGTACTGAACATTTTCGGCGCACCCGCTTATCATCATGGGCGCAATTTCTTTTGCACACGAACATGATTCTTAACCTTTCCTTTTTCTAAAAACCATTTATTGAATGATTTCACTCACATTATTCAGGTATTTTCCAGTGTTTTTGCCTTTATCCATTCAATCTAACGGGCTCGCTCTCTCAGTCGCCATCTTTAAAGTAAGATTGTTGAACGATTCGTCACTTGACCCCTCGACGGCTATTCCATGTCAAAACATTTGTAATAACGGACTGAGCGATAAGATACTACGTTTACCAGTGGGCTCTTCCAAAACTTTGGCAGCAGTTTAGATGTCTTAAGCATTAAAAAGCATTAAAAAAAACATGGAAGGTTGGCTTAGTGGCTCCCTCCTCGCTTCCCACCTCTATGATCCGGGTTGGATTCCCTGCTCCGTGGGTTTTAGCCAGAATATTCCTCTGGGGTTTTCTTCCCACCTCTAAAATGTGTAACTACTTGTCATTGTCTTGTGTTGCAGGTTTCTTCAGGCTTGTAACCTCTAGTGCCTAGGGCACTTTTGAAGAATCCCTGGTGTCATTACCAGAAATTAATAACAAAATGGATCTGTGTACCCGCAGGTGATTCAGAAGTGAAGAGTAATTCTGCATCACCCTGCAGGGCAAAGCGACAGAGGACCAGAAGAGTGGCTACAATGCCAAGAAAAAGAATCTCAACTAGGTTGAGGAGGACTCACAAGAAGAGCCCCTATTTTGGTAAAGGGGCAACCAAGGCACCTCCAAAACCCTCCGCCGAAAAGTGGACCCCACCCAAGTCACCATTCAACCTCGTCCAAGAGAGTTTGTTCCATGACCCATGGAAACTCCTTGTAGCAACTATGTTCCTCAATCGTACAACAGGTGAGTTACATATGTATATACTTTCTCAAAAGGTTTTCTCATCTTTGCATAAAGGTTTCATTTGTATAAGATAATAACCGATCAAGTTTTGATAATCACATCATGGTATTTCAACTTGAGGTTCCTGGACAAGGTTGAATGGTGACTTGATGGTTTTTTCAACGTAGATATTTGATTGGATAATGAATACTCAAATACTGTTTAGTTAGGCCTACTTGAATCTTTTGGAGTAAAATGCCATTAAATAAACAGGAGGAGAAAACAGTGCTTATGTTTTTGATACCAGAGTCGTTTGAAGTATGTAAAAATGTGTATGACACAAAACACAGCAAAGTGGCCAGGCATGTCAGCGGTGTCCCATATGACTGTAAATTTCTGCAAGTGTTTCGGTACCCAAGAACAGTTCATAAGGAATGCAAGCTGTAGTATGAGCAAAACAGCAAAGCACGTTATGTTCCTACAAAGTTGTAATTCCCTCTTACGGTCAAAATAGAAAAAACAATATTTGCCTGTCAGTTTTGACAACAAATTGGGCATGGACTTTTTAGTTCAAAACAGACATCAGTCTCTGGTCTCATTCCTTCATGCTTATACACATAAAGATATGCTCAAGGCATGGCAAAAAATATAATGTCATCAAAGATTTCAACATGACTAATGTGGCAGTTATGTACTGGCCCCCTTGACTGTGTGTTATATGTATGTCATATTTCACTTTTAAATTACATGTACTGAAACATTTGTTGAATCCTTTTTTCATGCCTGTACTTCAGAATTGTTTGTAATAAGGTTTGTGTATAATTATTATTGACCCCGAACCTCCAGCGGGCAATATGGAATATTTGATCTGGTGGCAACAGAAATAAATATATCATAGTCAGCTATTCCAGTCAATCCACCCATACCCACCATCGACCCATGTGTGAAATCTTGCTCTCGGCAACGTTTGTGAATTTCCTCCGAAAGGTGTCAAGGCAATACCCGTCTTGTGGAAGTTTTTTGAATCGTGGCCCAACCCAGAGGTGACGCGTAAGGCAGACTGGAAGGACATGGTAGGGATGCTCCGCCCATTGGGTCTGCACCAGAAGAGAGCCCAGATGATCGTGAGATTCTCAGGTCAGAGGAAAAAATCTTTAAAATTCTATTCAGGAGGGAGAGGTAAATCTCAATATTTGGCTTGCCTATCATCAAAAGTATTCAGTGCATTATATCCAAAATCTCATAGGGAACCTCTCAAAATACAAGCCGGATATTCAAATGTACTCATGACAATTTGAAAAAGGTTGTCAGCTTTTATAACTGGTAGGGATATTCAGTTCAAAAATTGAGAAGGAATAAATGGTATGTAAATGAAGGACACAAAATATGCCATCTGAAATGTTCAGTTGATTGTTTCAACTTTGGGCCTTAAACTTTTTGACTCTTGGGATTGGAATGTCTGATTAAATGATATCATTTCCATCTAATCATCGCCTGTTTTTTTTTTTCCTAACAATGGCAACATTTTTCTAAGGATTTCTAAAGGTGAAGGCTAGCAGGTAAAGAACCCCCCCTGCTCTGAACCCCCCCCAAAACAGATTAATGAAATGAGAGTTGTTGTAATAAAAAGACTGATATCCTCAGTGTAAAAAGGGAAGTGCATCAGTAACAGTGCAATGCATTACATATGCGTCCATGAAAAATTCCTAGATCTTCTCCTGAATTAAATGACGTAAGTAGACACTGTGGTAAGGTTCATTTGAGTGCATTATTTTTGTGATCTTAATTGTGAACCATGTTGTCGTACTTTGATGTTTCCACATGTAGAGGAGTACCTGAGTAAAGACTGGACCTACCCTATAGAGCTGCATGGTATTGGGAAATACGGCAATGATTCCTATCGCATCTTCTGTGTCAATGAGTGGAAACAGGTAACTACCCCATGTGCAAATTGTAGTCTGGGTACCAGGTGTCATTAAAGCTCCGCGTAGCCAATTTGAATATGTACTTGTATGTTGTGCCAAAGGCCTTTGGTTGCAAGAAGGCAGAGCACCGTTTGTTTTTTACTTTAATTAAGGGAGCAAAATCTAAAACTGTGCAAAGGTAAGAAAGTGTATGCTAGCATTCCACGTGTACTTCAAAGTGCATATGATAACTAGGACATGGTTTGGAGATAAATTGCTTTTGTTGTTAGTTGAAAATGTGTGGACATGTTGAAAAAAATAAGGGCAAGCAGCCATTTTGGACACAAGCCCGGAGGTCATTTTGAGGTCACTGGGAGAACTATCATGGCCATTTTCCAATACTCAACTTCGGCTCCGTCTCAGGCTTCAACTGTTTTTTCCTAGCTGACTTTGAAGCTGTAAGCGCAGTAATCAGTCTAATTAGTGCCACATCAAATAAGATGCAAGAAAGCCCAAAATTACAGTAATCCAATGTAATTTAAACACTTCAGGCCCACAATCGGGGATTGGTTTTGGGAAAGAAGCCTGAGACGGAGACGAAGTTGAGTATTTGAAAACGGCCCATGTTACATACAGTGCCATGAGGACAATGCTGTCTCTGCTTTTTTTCTGATAATAAACGTACAGGTCTTCATAGTATTCATTTTATTGGATATAATATTTTTTGGACCCCAAATGAAAATTTTTTCTGATTTTAGAGGGTACAGGTACTTGTCACAGTTTGTTTGTAATAATAAATAGTCACTTTGAGATGGCTAAAAGAATGTATGAAGGCATGGGTCCCACAGCCCTGCACACACACACACACATCTGTTTTGATATCAGTTTTAATTTGAATGTGGTTGAATTGCCAGAATCTCCTAGATGGTTCTCGCACAAACATGGTATGACTGTAATTCGAAGAATCTTCCTCTCAAAAAAGGTCCCACCAGCAAGCCTGCCAAATAAATCCTTTCAAACTGTTGAATATGTTTCTTTATGGTTCTTTTCTGCAGGTGAAACCAACCGACCACATGCTGAATAAATATCATGACTGGCTATGGGAGAACTATGCATGAGGTCTGAAAACAAGATTCAAAGTACATATTCTGAAATATTTTAACAGGTGTATGTAGTCAGCATGTTAGATAGTTGTTATATCATCAAACTGGGTAGATATGCTACATGTGCATGTACCTTTTAGTGCATATCAGTGGCGTATCGGGGGGGGGGTAACTTGCCCCCGACAGATTTTTATTGCTTTTTTTTTACAAATAGAATTTCCTGTAGGTGAGTAGAAAAGAAAGTAATCGGTGTATTAATTTATCATATAGTAGCACCAAATCCTAACAAAACAACATCATTTGATTTTTTCTACCCAACATCATGTTGAATAAGCCCATTCAGCCACATTCACTTTTGAATTTGATCCCCCCCACCCGACACCAAAAGCTGGATATGCTACTGGTGTACATGTACATTCATGGTCACTGGATGCATATCTGTCTGTGCAACACACATGCATGTAGTTGAGTGAAGCTTTGTCAGAAAATTTGACAAATGAACAGTTTAAAATCCTTCACATTCTTAGTGGAACGGAGAATTGGACTGTTTTCCCCATTTCTGAAAATGAAAACCAACATTCTACACTTGTTGAAAGACTGTTAATTTTAAAAGATGTTTGAAGTGTAGTTTGAACGTTTAGAATTTACTTGTGCTCTGCAAATAGAATTGTAACTCAGTCGAATGGTATCATTTGAACATTTCACATGACAGCCTATGCTTTTATGATGGACCTTTCCCTTCTACCTCTACCCACATTGTTCCGTGACCTTGGATTGTGAAGGTTCTGTCATGTCAGTGTGGGGTCATTCTATAAATTTTGGGTCCAAAGTGTGACATTTCTCCGTCCTTGTTACCTCTTACATGTGTACTATCTCACATGTTTGACAAGGGATATACCACTGAAATTGATTTCAAACTATTTTTATTTGTCTAGTTTATTTATTTATTTATTATTTAATTTACAGTACTTATGCAATCTTGGAATAAAACAGTGAGTTCTAAACATTATTGAAAAATAATATGCCAGACGAAACAGGGACGGGAAAAAGAGTGGACCCCAAATTTATAGAATGACCCTGTGATGAAATATTACCTACCCCTTGGTGCCCCCACCTTGTAATACTGAACTACATTCTGCAATTTTCATGTACAGTACAGTGTATCTGCATTACAGGAGTAACAAAGGCTCTACCTTACCAGTGTGCAAGATGGGACAAAACCAAAGTTGATGGGGGACAGTACCTTTTGCTAGGTGTGTGTGTGATACATGTATATGTATTACATCTTTTGTAAGAGCGAGACGACCAACCAGTGGCTCATCTGGTCCTTCAGTACAACTTGCCCAATCAAACTTCGCCAGTATTGTCATTTTCAAAACATTCATCTGGTCATGTGATGTAGGGGTGAGACTGGAGGTAAAATTAAATTTCCCCGAAGTAATTACCAAAGGTTTTAGGGCCCCATATCGGCATAAGGTCAATGGTATGCAGTTGTGAATATAGACATATGCTGTACCATTTGTTTACCATACCATACTAATTTCTTGTGTTCTGTATCAATTTTTATCAGCAAAAACACCTTAACCCTAACAGTCCCAAATTCTCCGATTGCAATATGATTTTACATACACCCTAGGGGGTTAGGGTTAATGGAGTTCCAAGCATTTTTCTGATTGCCTGACTGAAAACAGGAATATCCTGATGAGGTGGCACACAGCCGGATGATGCCTTATCAACCATTTAAGACCGCTTACATGACAGACCCCCAACCAGTGGGAACGATGAACTGTCTCAGGTATTTCTGAATTGCGTGTAAAAAAAGAAAGCAGTTTTGCGTCCATTTTCCAAAAACAATTGCTAACAATGTGGCCAAGCCAGTCTGTGTTCGGAATTCTTTTCCCAAGGAAACTGGTGAGCAGTAACCAGGTAACGGGTCAGTGTGCATGAAAAGGAAACATTAATATTGCAACATTGTTATATTGTAATCAGGTGAAATGCATGCAAATTTTTCATATTTTCGATCAGTTTAGAACACTAGCAAGCTAAAAAGATTGTGCATGCACATGTAATGTTTAATCTTTAGTGGGATGAAAGAAATTTCCAAATAGGCATTGTCTGTTAAATCAATCAAATAAAAAAAATTGGTTTGTGTCATAATTCAGTTTGGTTCAGAGCACAAACATACATGTAGCATACAGCTAGACAAAGGATCGAAATACTGTGTAAATGCATACAAAAACCCACATTGGCTGAGACAAGTAAAGTGATGTACATGTTCAATTTTGGAGGGAAAAATTGTGTGGCAACAGTTTGGGACTTGACTACATGTATGTCATCAATGCAATTCCTATGGATATAATTGGAATATATGTTCTCGCATTAAACCAGACTGGAACCTTAAAGACTCTCAATAAAATGTGCTTCATCAAAGGCAAGTTACGTATACATGCATACATTTGGTTAGTTTTATTCTTTTGATCAAACGACTGATTGATTTTTAAATTATGCTGTTCAAACATTGTGCTGCATGATTCATTGCATTATCATTAATTAGCCTGATACAACATTCACATACATGGACTTTGATTTTGCCATTTCTCATAGTTGTCAGTGCTTATTGTAAGTTCCATCTGACAAAACTGCTGGAAATATACATGGTGTCCCTTCTTTTGAAGTTTTGGGGCTTATCATGCTTGCAATGTTTACAGTACAGGCAAGGAAAGGATTGAAAACTCCACACGTTACACTGACCTAAACCGCTTTGCCATTACGAGGCCAGGGATTATGTGAATCAAGTCTTAGAGCATGGCTTTAGTGATTTTTATGCAAAGGACGTAGGTGCAGTTCCAGTTTCACATTTGTTTATCTGAGGTAGGGACTGAAACCAAACCTATAGATGATTTGGTTCTCCAAAAAACGTTTATGACAGTCCTCTGCTTGAAATTACTGGAAGTCACACCAGCATATTCACAAATTGTCTGTAACCTCTAAACCCTTTTACATTTGGGTTTAAAAGTATGCAAGTTTACATTAAACTGAGTTTATAAATGTTTTAAAAGGTTACAAACGACTGATCATATATATAGAAGTAGCAATACATGTATATAATTTAAACCATACACCATTCACGTGCATGTATACACATGTACTTCTTACAACTCAGGCAAACAAATAAAATGAGGTACAAAAACTTGAAGTTACAGCCCTGGGTAGCTACTTTTTTGGCAGATTTTTCATGCAACACAATTGGACCTGAAAATATAGTTCATGAATTGCTAGCTTGGTGAGAGCTTTGATGATTGATTTATACCATTTAGTGAGTTTCAGTGCATGTTGCAGTGTTAAAACTTTAATTGTATTATTAGTGACTTGAAATGAATCAAAGACAGCCGTGAACAGTAATGGTCTATGATTATCACTTTTGCAAAGCCCAGTAAATTTTGCTTGAGCTTACTTTTTGTTGGAAAAGGGTTGTAAAATTGGCAAAATGTTATTGGACTGGCAAGATAATGTCTCTCATTTGAAATGTGTTTGCAGTTATACCCTGGGGATGGTCTGAACCCTCAACATCCACGTCATTAGACTGTTGGTTACCAGCCAAAGTTGATTCCTTGGTGGCTTCAGCATCTTCCTCGTAACTGGAATATGTGTGCGACACGTGTAGTTCATGAACACCGGGGTCTCTGGAGGTTGCTGTTTCCTCTGATGGGTCTGAACTATTTGTACATGTACATTGGACTGCAGGGTCTGTGCAGTTACCCTGAATGAGAGTTGATGAAGTTGAGCTGTCATCTGTTCTTGTTTCAGATAGTGTCTGTGACTCTGGCTGTGGCAGACTTTGACTGCGTCCACCCGGTGAACTGGGAGCCGTGTCTACCACTGGCTCCTGGGCATCATTCAACCCTTCAGTAGTCTGTTCAACTGAGTCACATGCAAAACAGTCAGTAGATGTATTAATGACATTGACATCTGGACCAAGTGGAGATGATATTTCATCCGCTGGATCAGTGTCTGCAGATGAGGCAGGAGTTTCAGACTCATCTGACATATCCGCATTTAGATGTTCACCCTCATCATCCAAAATTGAGGGCGCATCTGCATTGGTTTCTGCATGTTCAATCTCAGTAATACCTGAGTCCTCTTGTTCACTAGAGAGTGAGCATCCCGTGTAGCCTGGGATTTCAGACTCTTCAATCCTTTTCAAGGAGGCCATGCTCTTAAAAGAAGCTACACTAGTCCGTCCGGCAGACAGCCTGCTGAGCCGGTCACTGATTGACGACTGGTCCTCCTGGATGATGGACAGCTCCCTAACCTTCTGGAGGTCAGCCTTGAAGAGTTTGGTCTTGGTCGTGAACCGATTTCGAGTTCTGAGAGGGTTGTTGAAGTCATCACCTTTTGCTTTGCGACGTTTGGCCCGTTTGCGAGCCTGCATCTGCTGCAAGACCTCCTGGCTTGAGGTAAATCTGTTTGTTTTCCCTAAAAACTCATTTTGGATGCTCTTCACGTTGTGACCCTGCAGTTTGGGGGCCATTGGCTCTTTCTTGTCAATCGCAGCTTCTGCTTCATCTCCTGCGGCTGAATTCATGGCAACCTGTGGCTTCTCTGCTACTTCGTAAGCGACTTGGATAGCTGGAAGTGGTTCGTGCTTATGCAAGGGTTTGGAGCTGGTAGAGAAGTCACAGCGCAGCTCTGCCATCTTGATGGCCTGCTGCATCTGCAGTCGGTAGTTGGTCACTGACCTGTCTTCGGCATTAGGGTGGACGTAGGGCTCGTGATTTGTTGACAGTTCTGGCCGCCATGTCGCGATTTCCAAGTCGCTTGAGTTGTTGTCATGCTTCAGTGGTGGTAGATCCTTTGGTTCACGAATGCCTGTTGAGCCCGATGCTTTGGTGGTAGAACTTCTGTTAAGGACAACAACATAAGGCCCCCCGCTTGTGGGCTTCTGTTTTATGCTGACAGGCTGGATTTTTCTGTTAAGACACAGCAAAATTAAATGCATATGAAGAGTTTTTACATTGTTTAGAATGCGCCTTATGAACACAGCTCTTTTCATGAACTGCATGTGTTTCAAAAACTCAGAAATCACTCGACCCACCTAATTTGGAAATATGAGGCAAGTCCTAACTATTCTGTTTGTATATTTTCAACACAGACCAAGAAAGGGCTTAAATATGCAAGCAATTACACAGTTTGAAAAGATAAAATCAAATTGATTCGACTGACTCATTTTCCTGACAGAAAGTTGAGTTTTTGTCATGGCGTAGTAGTATTTAGTGAATTAACTTTTACTAGATGAGCTTAATCCATGCACCTATGGCAATATTTCTCTTTAAAATCAGTAGATGGCTTCTAATTTACTGACCTTATGAGACCTCGATGTTGGAAGGCTGGGGGCTTGAGGGCTCTGCAGGGAAAATAGAGTGTCACAAAATATCACTTGAGACTGCAGTAATGGGTATATCGAGGGAATGAATCAAGGTGAGCAGAAGAGGTGGATTCACGTGCATTTTGTAACATTTACAAAACATACATGTATCTAAGGATGATGCAGCCAGCGCTGCATTGGAAGATGCAGAACACGTGCAGGCTTTTGACAAGTTTGCATAAGTATGCAGAGTTGTAAGTGGTACTTAAATTGTATAGCTTAATGTGGATAAATGCCACCCAAGATACTTTACAAAACGGAATTCACAACGGGTACACATGGACTGTATTATTTCAGTCTGGAAAAAGTCCACAGCACATTACTTGAAACAACCAATATTTGCATGTACATTTTTACCTGATGGTCATGGGCGAGCTTTGCACAGTTGTGTGACCTCTCCTCTGTATCACCCGGTCAACCAATTCCGTCAGTGGTACCTCCCCCTGTCTGTGTCTCTTATCCCTGATCATCCTGTCAGGTTGGGCCAAGGTGCTGTAGCGGGCTTCATGACTCCTCCTGGAGAGTGACGAAATATGGAGACCAAGTCAGTCCTAGGAGGTTATAGTGGTGTCAATAAATAAGAGTGTATACCTTCATGGTTGGTATTTAAAATCCATCGACTGACAGTCAGCCGGATATGATTTTGGACAACCCGACGTCTGAACAATCGTTAGGTAAAACAGTAAGAATGATTTAAACCTGTAACATTAAGCAGCCGGTAGTATGTAACCTGAAAAGGTATAGAAAATAAAGCCAATGCAATTTTCAGCTGCAGAATAGGAACAACACAATTGATACAGTGCGCAAAGTCATATGGGGTCATATTTTGAGTGCATCTAATTTTTACCAAACTGCGGGGGCTGGTTTCCAAGTATTCGAAAGACGCCCCATAATATTCATGCACGATGTGATAGTCTCTTAGCAATTTGACAGTCAAGAGCGGCCTTTATCGAATCTAACCATTCTTCGCTCGTCGAGTTGTGTTTCACGTCGCCCCAAACGCGCGGTTTTATCCCCGCTACAATTGCAGACTCGCCCTTCTCTCGCTGGGAACCGAATGACCGGGCGGATACCACTGAAGTTGAGGCTCCTGTCGTGATGGAAGGAATTTAGACAGTAATATACCCGTAACTGCGATAGCCTACACTGTAAATACAGGAAACATTCGCAGCACTTTGCTTTAATAATTTTTTTCTTGGGGGGGGTTAAAGAATTGCTCGAAGATGTATTTCACAGACAATTCACACATTTTTAGGGTTAAAAACCATTCTTAAAACAATTCAACATTTTAACACGATTAAAAATTAATAATGATCAGTTTCTCAGATTTCTGGTTAGTCAGACTGGATCTATTCCTTTTCCTTTGTTAAAACGATTATTATGACGAGAGAGCTTTATGTCCAATACTAATGACTTACTGCCAAAAGAATAACATGCACATGTATACATAGTGCACAAGAAGCATGGTTGTCCCACTGCAGTTGCAATAAACATTTCTTGATAAGGTTACGGATCTTTCACTACCAAATTTAAAAACAGCATAAGTTTGGCAAGCGTGGCAAAGTGTCTCTGCTTCAGTAACTACACAAGGCAAACGCTATTTCCGCACCTGGTTTTTCCTCACAACTTCAAGTCAATAGCAACCGCGGCAGGCTTTGCACTCACCATTGTTCCGTTTTCTCATGCGATTTCGAAGCTGGTCTTGAGCTTTCTCCCTCTGTGGGTGAATGGTATTAAGAAAGGAAACACGTTTCATGTAAATTATGTACATGACTCACGCAAAAACCATGACAAATAACGGAGTGTTTCTGTGTCATTAAATTAGGATAATTAATACGGGTGTCACTCTAATGATACCAACCCGATTCTTAGAAAAGATGGGCCGTTGTAGCATGGCTAGAAATCAGTACAAACGGCTGGACATTAAAACTTCAAAAGTTGATTCCATTTTTGTTGTTCCCAAGCAAAAAACATGACGTGTGGGGTTCAACGACGAAAATCAAGCAGATTAAATGACTAACCGAGAAAGAGCTGCGGAACAGTGCTCTTAATAAATTTATGAACAGCCAGCGCGGTGCAAACTTCAAAGTTCAGGAAAACATCAAAGCGCGCCATGTCAAATTCTGTGTAAACCAACACGACCGGGTCACAAAATGACACGGCGTTGCCGGGTGGGCTTGGAGCGCTTGTGAATGGGTTCCTGATGGCTTTTGCTGGCCCTTTAGGTAGCTCAGAGGAGGTCCCTTTCCTAGGCAAAACATCGGGGCCGGGGGGTAAGTCTCAGCCAATCGCAGCATTCGGGACAGACCCTGAAAAAGTCTCGAGGGGACGTTAAAATTGCTGGCTGCTGTCTTAAATCTGAATCCAGAGGTCTTCTGCAGGGATTTCGCAAATCACAAGCCCTAAATCCGGGGTCGTCACTTGAACACCGTGGGTAAATTTATGTCAACAAATAATGCAACGGGTATACTCGAGGCAAAGATTATCATTGAATTCAGCCTATGGTTGAGAGACTTCTGGAATGGTTACTGATGTTTTTCCTCCATTTCCCTTCTTACCAGACCCATATCCCCGCCATTATGGGTGTTTTCCCATAACTTGTGTTTTTTCTAAATTGTTTAGGCCTATACTAATGAATGCCAATTTTGACAAACCTTTCTCTTTTGAGCAGGTTCTCTTCCCGGATTGTAGACATTCGCGTTGTGCGCTGCTACCTGCAACATGAGTTTAAAAAAAGATTTTCGTTTGAATAATAATTTAACCTGTTGAAATAAATATTCTTACAAGCTAAATAACTGCCAAAAAAACCAAACAGATATATGAAGCACAAGGGTTCACGGTATAAACTGTGTTTGGTAATCTCGCAGTCACTTTGTTATCATGTAAACATTTTTTAATATATGGCCACTTCGTCAATTTTCAGTGGCTCAACAATATACATTAAAACTCTAAACATGTTTAGCATTCGACTGTTAGCAAACTGATAGCCAGATTTAGCGTTTAGAAAAATGTTTAATTGCTAAACACATTTTTTGCAGTGAATCTTGAAATAGGTCTATTTTAAACAGTAACAAACAAACAAACTTAATAATCAATTTTCAAATGCACGGGATACAGACGTGACGGCTACATCTGTCCTGTCCCGACCAACTTGTTGAGAAAAAGTCCAATGGAGTTATGTATGATGTCAGCTTTGCAAAATGTTCCATGATTTTTTGCTCTCAAAGGTGAATCAGCTGTGATTACTGAATCCTCTCCAGATAATGTCTCATAATAGAATTGCTCTGCACAGCTCCTTAACAAAGGAATCCGATGTGATTCCGCATGGGAACACACAAACACCAATAAGGGAACATAAATAGAAACAACTATATGATTGAAATATAGAAGTCATTTATAAAGTGTCAAATCTGCATATTGACTCTCCATTTTCTCCCACGAGAGCCTCCATATTTCTCTGTAAGGTTTTGTAGTTAAGGCAGGCACAACTAACCGGGGAATGCGTTTTCCTTGCAAGTTGACCTGAGGTTATTTTCGTCTGTATATAAGCAAAACTGTCACACGTCATTCCGTCAGAATATATCAGATATCCCATTCCCAAACACATACGCTTTTCTTTATAGCTTACTGTAAATATTTTGGCCAACATTGTTTGTCGAAAATGCAAGTAGGCCTACTGAATGTGATCGCCTGAAATGGGGCGCTGAAGTTGGCAACCTTTGTCCATATTCTGGATCAGCTTGTGACATGTAAGTGAAAGCAGTTGACGTTTGATGAGTTACTTTAACCATGGAGGTAGGAATTCCTACATCCATGCTTTAACGTTGGCTTAACGTCCTTAACTGAGAGGATCTGGGAATTGTTTCCTTCACATTTATTGCCTTATATTATTTAATTATGTATAGTATGGGAAATAAATAAATAAACCAAACCAAACCATTCCATACGTGTGATAGACATTTATGTTTGAACCACCATCACCATCGTCCTCACCAATCGCCATGCTTATCCTCGTCACTTCTGTGACACGGACACCCTGTTCCACCATCGATTTACATTACCAAACTGTACTCGCATCTCCTTGCCGTCCCCGTTTTCGAACAATGAACCGTTGATGTTATTCGACAAACTTCATATCACTTACTGTCGCTTGCTTGTTCAGCATTTCCATCGCATTTAGTCCTCAACCATGTTCTTTGTTGACTCCCATGTACGGTGTATTCAAATTCTCCAATTGTCACCAAAATGGGAGCCAAGATCCAACAAGTAGACAAACAAGTTCTATCAACAAACAGAGATTCTATATACCGCGCGATGCTTCTCAAAGAAAAAAAAAACTGGCTGGGCTGTGCGCGAATGGGGGTACAGTATCGACCCATTCTATAAAGTTTTTAACGCCATCATCGATTTTCCCCCTTCAGAAATCTAGACCAGACAAAAGCTTGGCTTGTCGAACAAGTTGATGACGTTGTTGGGAGAAAAGCCTGTATTATCACAGGCACTGTTGGTTCATTCGGGGTCGCTGACTTTGGAGAAAGAGCTTTTTGCATTCGCTCGGTAATGGCGTTTGGGAATATTTTCAAAGCAACGAGAAATGAATGTGGGTAACCATAGCAACAGTGGTTACTGCAGCTGGTACGGTTTTTTAAATCAAAGATGGGCCAAGAAAACGCAAAAAACAAGTGGTGCTTTGGACGACATATGGGTAACATTCGGAAAAGTGATATTTCTACAACATCGTTAATACTTTACTACACAGTTATTGCATCCTCTCAGCCTCGACATTTACAAATCCATGTAGCCCTATTCTACTCTACATGTAAATATTTAGTCAGCCGCTACACAATTAGTCGTGGTGCATTCATGGCAAAATCATGTCTAATTAGGAATAGATGGGGTTCGTTGTTCGCACTCCTCAATTCCTAACTGAGACAAGGTACATTGTAGTCCCTATGCCTGAAAGTTACAACTGGGACTGATTCCAAAGAAATGATCAGCCACCAAACAAGAACACCGTGAGTGGACCACGTTTACCATGGCTGAACCGTGCCAAATACATGTCTCTCCCTCCATATAAGCAGCTTTCTTGAATCGAATCTCCAGTACCCTTGCGAGCTGTCCAAGATGAAGACTTTTTCGAGAATGGTCTCCATTCAGTTGTTACAAAAAACTCTCAAAGAGAGGTCCAGTGAGACTGCGTTGGAAAAAGTTAACACAAAAGTACTAAGACAAAATTTTCTTTATTCGGGGGGGGGAGGCTCACTAAACATAACTATGGCCATTCCACTAGCTCTTAACGTAGAGGGTGCTACATGTAGCTCAAATTAACCAGTTCTCGTATGCTGAAGAAACTTGGATATTGGCATGCTGATAACGGGTAATCACCGTGTTTTATTAACGCAAAACAGTAGTCCGAGTATGCGAACTCTACTATTATTCAACCCATTTGTTTGTTTTGTGTCTGTTCCGGAGCTTTTATAGGGTGAATCCACTTTTCCATGCCATAACTTCCATCAGTGTTAGCACTGTTTTTCGAGAGGATCAATAGATCTATTTGCAAACTGTATTTACTGACAACTGCTATGTCTACGCTGTTAGTACAAAGGGATATGTTTGGGGCTGGCTTGCATTTTTGGTTTCCACCGTCAAGCGTCACCATGCCTTGAGCATGTTGTGTTTTGTGGAAGTTATTTCTATGGTTTGGAACATCTTCTCTACAAAATGGAAAACAAACACGAAAATTAATCCAAAATGCATACATTTACAAAATGTAGAATTAGAATTGACAGCAGTGGTATGTCCCAAACAGATTTGCCATTCAAATAGAAGTCATTTGAATGACGTGCTCATGTCCGAAACAAAATATTTATAGTTTAATGTACCATTGAAGCCAAGTACTGAGACGTACACATGTAGTTCGCGCACGTTGCTATATTTTTTTAGTTTGCCCATTACGTGTAAACGAGAGCCGAATTGGCCTCTTGAAATTAAAAGGCCAATCAAGGCTCAACTTTGTGACAGTAAATACACCTTTGGAAACGGATATAACTTTGCTCAAAGTGTATGTAAAACAAAAACGTGCGTTTAAAATATACATTTACTGAACGTTTATTGTAAAAGAAAATTAAAATAAATTTGTTTGTATTTCCTTATCAGCTTATCTTGAATGACAAAATGCAAGTTTCACGGAACAAATTTCAGGCAGAAGACATGAACACTGGCAACGACTAATTTAGTTGTAAAAGTCTTGATTTTTAAAAAGGGATAAAACAGGCCGAACATCGGTATACATAAAAAAGAAAACAAATTACAAGTAAAACAAATACTGGAAATGGTGTTTGCTTCAGCCTGCATGAAACTTCTAAAATCTTAGTGCCAATGGAAACGACTTTTCACCCCGCCCGGCTTTTTATTCAAAGAGGATGTTCTGGCAAGGACACCACGCGTTTTTGTTTAGATTTTAAATTACCAGCACCCATGAAGCTTTTGTGCCAGAGCAATTGATCTCGGGTTCTTCCTGAATAATTTAAATTCCAGGCGGGTGTATTCGAATTCGGCCTTGGCAACAACTCATTAATTAGGGGGCCTACAGTTACGGGGGTTCAATTCGATCCCATGCGACTGAAAACGTCAATTGGGTACAAAAATGCTTGCTTATCTTTAAAATGTTTTACGTTTGCCAAATCCAATCCAATCCAAATCTAAAACTTGTATCCTTTTTATGTCTGTGCCACATGAACATCGAAATCAGTTTAGTCCAAACCTGGTCCAGCACTACAGGGTACAGTCCACTAATTCAAGCCCCATTGAAAACAGTGTAAAATTAGCACTTTTCAGGGCCCAATAGCATGCGAGCCAACATCCCTGAGATTTCTGAAACACAAATGAAATTCTTGTCTGGTCACTTATCTT